CTGACTGATAAGTGTCATGAAAGAAAAACATTACCATTACACAGTGTGTCCACCCGAGAGCACTGCCAAGTTCATTTTTCAACTAAAATGTTGTATGTTTTGTTTGCATCCTGGCCACAATAACAAAACTAAATTAATAAGAAGCATATCAAGATTGTTTATGTAAAAAATGCTCTTGGCTGACATAGTATTATTAGATTTTAAAGCCGTTACATTATACTGACATCCAGTGATTTCAGTTAAAAGCTCATTAAGCCACCCTCTTTAGTTACTGTTGCTGCACTTGACAAGCTTTCTGTTCTTGAACAGTGGAGTGCACTTTTTAATGACAGCGCAGCAAATTTACCACTCAACATCCTCATTAATATTTGAACCACTGGGTCCTGTGTCGAGGTGCTCGATAGCATTTGCGGTTAGAAATGACAGCTGTGTGTGCCATGAGTTACAAACACTGTCACCGGCTGACTATTGTAATGTTTCCATAATGCTTGCCGACTTGTTTTTTAACAAGGATCTTGTAAAATGAAAAAAAGAAAAGAAAAGCTCATTGCTACTTACAGGACATTATGCAAACAATCTGAGGCTAAAGCTCAGAGGACATCTTGTTACACTGGCAAACTTGTATGGCCTGGTATTATAAAGGGTCATAGAGTTCATCGCACGGCACTTGTAGAGCCATATTGCACTATAGTAATTTTTATTATATGATAGCATTTTGTTTTTTTATGTATTTTTTTTAATGATTTTACTGAACTCCTCTCTGTGCTTTTAAATTGGGGATTAATAAAGCTTTTTGAATTGAAATGAACTGATTTCAATAAGGAGAAATCAAATAGAAGCTAATAGCAACATGTACTAGGTTAAGGAACAAAGAGATTTTTTTGGCTTTCACTTTAGCTTCATTAACTATATGGGTTACAGATATTTGCATCCATTTTTATTGCTAAATACTTGAAAGGGTTACATGTTAATTTTAAAGCATCCTCCTCTTTTGAACCTTTCACAAATCAAACATAAGTGACCTGTAAATCAAGACTGCAAGTAGAATTTGTTTTAAAGCAAATTCAGAAAGGTTGGAAAACACAGTTCTCAAGTATGTGAGATGATCAAACTGTTTTCCACAAGGATGCTTTGTTACATTTTTGTGTAGGTACAATGGGATCCAGGCATCTGCCATGGGCAATTTAATGGAGGAATAGTTGCTCAGTCATACACATTACACATGCCTCTTTAGCTATTCTCTTTTTGGAGAATATGAAGTAAAACTAACCTTTATTTATATTCAGATGGCGTTGCTCAAAGAATACCAGAATTTAATCTAAATCCCCAATCTTCCAAAGTGTGGTTGTTATTTGACTCTGAATGTCAAAAATAGCTTTGTTTGAGGAAGATAAACTAACACCCACACTATATGAGTCTGACTGGTGTAGTGTGGGTGCTAGAGCACTGTGGTTGACTGTTGTGGCCTTAGTTGACTTTCCTTACAAAATATTTCAGGACACTACAAGCTCTGCATGTCAGAGTGTGTGTGCGCCTGTCTGTCTCAGCGCTGGAGGGAGTGAGTCAATCACAGCAGCAGAAATCATCCCTGCGGGCGATCTGTCTCCAGTCATGACAAGGCTCCTAAGGCACTTATCTTTCCCTCCCTGACTCATTCTATCCATCCATCTCTCCCTCAGCCCTCCCTCTGTCTCGCACTCCACCTCTCCCCATTCTCTCCTCCTGTTCTCCATTGCTCTCTGTCTCCTTCCCAGTTTGTCTTGTGCCCCGGCACTGCAATTAACTTCTCATCATCAAAGGGAATAATGAAAAAGAAGGCAAGATAGCGAATCAGACAGAGGTGGGGAAGCTGTAAGAGAGGCAAGATAAGAGGGGATGAAGCCAGAGAAGCTGTGACAGAGGTGAAGTGGTGTCTCTCTCACACACACACACACACAGTCATGCATGCTCGATTATACTTGTACACACTTGCAGGTTCTTTTTTTTCCATCAAATATACGCACTGTTAAACACAATCGTACACACACAGCTTGTACTTGCTCTCAATCACTCTCACATTCCTGTGCGATGCAGCCAGAAACGGAGAAAGAAAGGGATTTTACATTTTTCCCCCCAGGAGATTTTTCTCTCCTCATTCTGTGTTTTCATGTCTCAACCCTTCATTTCTTCCTTCCTCCTTCACAGATGCACACACACTTGTTCACACTGCCTCCCCTTCTCCTCCACCTGTCTGAAGTACAAGAAGTATTGCTGTACATGTAGGGAAGCTGCTCTGTCGGTATTCTCATTGTGTGTGTATGTGTTTTTTACCCCCCTGGTTCAGAGAGCTGTCAACTGTGATCGCTGTTGAAAGGATGTCAGAGAGAGAGAGAGATGGAGAGAGAGGAAGGGGGAGAGACATCAAGGAATGAAAGAGACAGTAGGAGGGGGGTGGGATGTTGAGACAGAGGTCCCTACGGAGGGCAGAGGGAGTGATGGCATGCTTGTTTCTTTGTGCCCAAGCAAACGTAGCACTAGCAGTGGTGAGGGGAGGTGATGGACAGGAAAATAGCTGAGGGTAAAAAAGCAGCTCTGGGGGAAATGATGAGGGCCAAAGCTGCTAATTAACCATGGTACTAACACTCAGTAACAGTGACATAATTGGCCCTAGCTGGTGGTCCTTGGCGGGGGAGCCCTCAGAGGTGGACTCTAGCTCACATAAATACGGTTTGACTCTGACAACACGTTAGAAACTGTGAATAATCCATAATCTAACACGGTGGATTTTGACTAAACTGGAACAGCTGCAGACTCCAACAGAGAGAAGGAAACCTAACCTCTCTCAGCTGGATGCTTCTCTGGTTCTTCTGCATGTATTATTATCTGAAATAAACTGTACAGTAATTTGTCTTATTTTGAATTTTATACTGCAGTCCTTTCCTCTTTTAGCTCGCTGTATCAGCCTGAGCCGGGCAGATACAGTCACACGTGTCCTCAGATACACATGTAGTCACCAGCTATTTCTTTTCTTCCATCGTAGGTTGACATATCGTTTGCACAGGCCCCCCAACAGCCAGTAGCAGTCTTGCAGTGATCCCTTACTGGCTCCTCTCCTGCAGACCCTGCCATTTGGTAGTTTTCATTTTGTAAACATTTCATTCAGTCGAATGGAGCCAGTCAACAGAGCAGAGCTGCCAGCACAAAGTCATGAAAATGTCAGCTGGCTTAGCTTTGGCCACAACACAATGCAGCATATTTCTTCTGTTCACCTTGCAATTGTTACAGTGAGCTGCCTTGATGATTTTCCAGAGCTGTAAAATCTTGACCAGTGCAGTGTCTTACAGGGCGTTCACACATACAAAGACAAAGTAGTTGTCTTCTGCTGAGCTCAACCACAGTGCTGATCAGCTGTGATGACACACAACCTGATTGATTCCAAAGACAGAGAGAATTGTGCTCCTGTCACAAAGGTTTAACTCCACTTCTGCATCTAATTTGTGTCAGTCCACCTGTACATTTAGCTCTTTCCCCACAGAAGTAATTGTAATTAATGTTTTGCTAGTTGCGTTACCTGAAGTTGAGCAACCAGAAGCTTCATCAATACATCATGGGCATGGTAGGACTCAACGTGCATAAATTAATAAAAAATTAATTCACACCGGGGATCACATGAGGCCTTGAGGATAAGATGGACCGTAAACTTGACCGAATTAACAGGCTGGTGCAGCAACTGCAGTGATGTGGGGCTGTTGTAGTTGACTGTTGATCTTAAAGCATGTCTGCTGAATCTTTAGAGTAAAATATAATGCCGTAATCTGTAATCTGTGACCCCCTATGGCTGAGAGGTGATGTTTCAGTGGCTTTTGTTGTGTCACATTAGTCAGTTAAAAGCAAACACTAGAAAAGCAGCACACAGAAATCAAACTGTTCATCCAAGCAAAGCAGGGAGCTTTATGGAAGTGGACATTGTAATCAGCTACTAAACAAGGGTGAGGCTGAGATGGTGTCGCCTCAGTTTGGTCTGTCAAGATGGGTTGTGGGCGATGATATTTGTTCATGCAGCCAGGTAGAGGAGGGGCAGGAGAAGCTTTGAGGCAGAAATGTGGTGATAAGGAGGTCCGACTGCTGACTCCTCAGACAGATGGCGTTGCATTCTGCATGCAGAGGAGGAAACGACCGCTAACCTAATAACATTCATTCACTGTGCTCAAAAGGACGATACTCTCTCTCTCTGTGGTTTCAGAGAATCACAGACAGACTTTGGCTCTCAGGCCCCTTGGTGTGTTCACAGTGAGGCTCTGTTTTCAGATTGAAAAAGCTCAGCTGGCAGGCTGGTAAGTAATGTGTCGTCCTCAGGTTTCCTCTTATCTACATCACTTGAATTTAAAACATAAAGGCTTCAAATATTTGTATGATTTAGAAACTGGCAGTGTGCACATCTCCTCTGCTCCCTAGATTACCAAGCTGTTGACACAGCTTCCCTGTGCGATTCAATGTGTGGGATCCATTTCACTGAACAAATTGGTGTCAAACATCTTGCTTAGTCTCCTACCAACTAATCAATAGGGAATTGATGGTGTGAGTGGGTGTCATCTCTCCATCTGCGTCCCACTTGTTACATATCACAGAGTTACCAGCCATCTGCCAAGTCTTAGTGCTCACCATTATTTGTTAGGCAGCTTGCACAGAAGACGGTTACTCCTCCACTCAGTACCGACGTATTTGCCAGTGTCATAGATAAATATCTTATTAACATTTACCACATCATTAGGAAACCATATGCGGAATGCTTATGAGATTTATGGAGATAACATGCACATAAGTTTCTAAACGGACGGTGAATTTGCTGATAATAATATTAGCTGGCAAAACACAGGGATGCATATAACAAACAAAGGTATTCTCAGCTTATCACTGTGGTCTGTTATAATAATGTAATATTTTTATAATCACAGCTAGGGCTCGCCAGGGGTTTGACTTTCTTTCACATGATTATACTGATTTCATTTTCTTTTCTCCAGACCGAAATCAGAGAGAGAGATGACCCTTGTTTTGTCCATGAATCCTTTTCTGGACCCAGAAGGAGACCCTCCACTCTCTACATACCAGCCAATATGGGAATCGAAGCGCTGCACTAAGACCTGCCTGTCGAACCCTGCCCCGCCATGCAGCTCTGAAGAGCAGTTTACACCAGGTACAGACGTCAGTGCAGATGCCATTTGTTGTCATTTGTTTTAAACCTAATGAAATTAGATGCAGTTTCACAAAACAAATTCAATTAAGACAGTTGTTTTAAAATTGTAAAAAAAAAAAAAAAGATAAATATTTTTGTTCAGAGTTTCCTCAGTGATTGTGTAGCACATCCAATAGGCATGTACTTTAAAAGAGAGGTGGAAGGTTAGTCTTCTGATCCATTTGTAAGTCCTGCGTTTTGAGACCTGGCAGTATTACCCGTCTCTTCAAGCCATCCATCAGTATTTGTCTGCTGTCAGAGCCTGTAGTTTGTGCACTGGGGAGGCTGTAGCAGATCGTGCTGATAGACGAGGTCAGCAGTATATCCTTCTTGCTTTCACAGAGATAGACACTCGAGTCTCGCATACATTCTATTGACTTCTGACTTGACTCTCAACTCTTACCTAATTAACTCCAGACTTGACTCAGACTCATGAACATTAAGTCTTGCAAAATTTCTGAAGGATGACAGTTTTGGTTTTTCTAAGCCTTTCTAATCCTTCAACACATCACAGCGTGCATCCGCCAACCACTGTGCCAGCTTGTGTTGATGACGGGATCAATATGTTGTAGACTTTGTAGGGATTTCAAAAGCCTGGTTCTCAGCAGAAAAACGTCCAACTTGAAAATCTGAATGTCATGAATAGACAGCAGTAGTAGAGAATAAGAACTATGGCTAGTAAAATAATAGCAAAATTGCAGATGCAACCAAGTGAAATGTATTAAACAAGCTCACCAGATTATATGTGACCCCTCCCACCCCTTTGCACTCACACTTTGAGCTTTTAACCTCAGTGGAGTAACAATAACAAGTTTAAAGGTTCTGCACTCTGTGTCTGTCAACACAGACTTCTGGCTCGTGGTTATTTGCTAAACCAGAAAGCTATTAGCGTCTGAGATAAATGACATGGTGCTGATAATGTTACCAGTTATATGCTTAGAGTTATACAGTTGTCAGTTTATTAGGTACACCAAGCTAAAACTAACACAGTCTAATCTAACAGCCCTGTAATAAATCCTCTGCCATGAAAGTGATAATGTTCAGTTTGTGTTCTTCCAGAACAGCATGTTGCTATTTAGCCTGCTTTTTAGGTTAAGGTGTAATCCAAACTTAACTGGGGGACAGACTATTGACTAGAAGGGTCCTCAGTGTTTTCTTGAAAATGCAGCCCAAACATATTCAGCTGTTTGTATTTAAAACAGTGCATTACAGATTAGTTCAGATTTTCCCATAGATCATTATAATACATTTCAGCGCCTTAAATATCCAGTAGAATGGGCATTGATTTCAATTGAATAAACCCATTTATAAACATTTTAGCAATGGTGTTGTAGTTAGCTATGCAGTCAAGGAACAGAATGCTAAAAACTGTACCTTAGCTATATGGGTTTGTATCAACGAGTCATGTTATTGACGTAGAAACAGAGGGTAGTGGGTACATATCAGGACTCGCTCTATAATATAAAAGGCAGTACAGTCTGTGCACCATACAGTAGTAATGGTAACAGTAAACAGTCGAATGTTCAGTTGATTCATGACACAGTGTATTCCGCCTGTCTGCAGATCCACCCTATAGGCGAGTTCCAGATCATGTTTCAGTGTCAAGGATTGCATACTTCAAGAGGAAGTTTGTTGATGATGACGATGAGCCTTCCTTCAGCTTTAGGACGTACTGCCAGACTGTAAGTACAAACACATTGACATTTTCACATTCAGGGGGCACAGTGTATCCTAAATGACCTCATTAAAAAGACTTATTTACTATTTGTACCGCAAATGGACAAGCATAGTTAATTATATACAATTGCTCCTGCTTAGCTTCTGTGAAGTGAGGACCAGTAAATCAAGACTGCACCCAGTTAACTAAGTCAGATCATTGTAGAGCACATAACCCAATAGGAAACAGAGCACAGAACTGTCATTTTGCTATTCTAAATCAAACTTATTGAATGTACTGCTGAATTTCACTAACTGATCGGGTTACACGGAACTATTGGAATACTGTTCTTCAGGTTGCACCAGCTTTGGAGGAGCGTGCCCATGTGCTGCGTCTCTCCCTGGAGAAAATGAGATTCATTGACGACCCTGAAGCCTTCCTCCGTCGCTCTGTCCTTGTCAACAATCTCCTTCGTCGTCTGCGAGCTGAGATCCTGCTCCAGAGCGCTGACTGGTGTTTCCCACCAAACCCAGCATTCGCCACCGGCCCCTGCGTCCTGCCACCCAACACTAACCCCGCTCACCAGGCTCTCCAGGGAACAATGCCCACTCGGATCTGCTTAGCACCCAGTGCAGGACCGCCCTTCCGTAAACGCCTCCGAATGGTCCGTGGAGGGCAGGGAGATCTACGCCCTGACTGTGCGCAGACATGCTGCTGCATTTACGCAGCAACAGCAGCTGCAGGACACTACCTCCACCTCCCTTTCTCTATGTATGATGCAGCACTGTCTACCTGCCCGTCCACACCACACTCCTCCTCTTTCTTTCAACTAGCTAGCCATACTAAGTTAGGGTTGACATTGGCTGTAGAGGAGCCTGATGAGAATGATGATGTTGAGGAGGAGGAGGATGAGGAGGAAAATGAAGATGAGCAAGAGAGGGAAGATGAGGACGAGGAAGAAGATGATGAAAAGAGACAAGCCGGGCCTTCTACTGATGTTAAGCAAAGGTCAAGCCAGAGAAGTAGAACTAGGACTTTGCTGGGTCATGCACACCCAAGGACAGAGGAGGACAGCTGCATAATAGATAGGATAGAAGAAGAGGAGGAGGGAGAGCAGGATGAAGAAGAAGAGGTAGAGGAAGAGGAGCAGGTTGTGAGACCTTGTCAGTGGGACTCAGGCAGAGAGCTCCACAAGGTTAGTTTTTGGCACCGTGGGGCTTATAGACAATGATGTGCTTTCTGAGAAACTGGTTAAAATCTACGCCTGTTAGAATTAAAATGTAATGACAACAACTGTCATCAGTTCTCCTCATAGCACTACCTACACTATTGTCATGCCAAGTCAGCTTTATTTTTCTGGTCTAATATACTCCACACAGACAAACTCCTTTCACCTCAGTTGATAGGATGATGGTCACATAAAAAACGTAGATAATTCTTGGCCTTTGTCAGTACTGAAAACATTTTTCAAACAGTTATGAAGGCTGAGGTCACATACACTCAGTACAGAAAGTTTTCAGACACTTTCAAGTTTTCCACATTTTGTTATGTTTCTGACTCATCTTAAAATTGATTCATTTTTTCTCTTATCAATACTACACAACGATAGAGTGAAAACAAGTTTTCTCTATCCTGACTAGTCTCCCAGTCTCAAACACAGAAAAACCTCCCCACAGCCCGATGCTGCCACCACCATGACTGTAGGGATGGTATTAATGAGGTGCTGCTCAGTGCCTGTTTTCTCCACACATGCTGTTGGGAACTGTGGCCAAATAGTTCAGTTTTTGTTTCATCATACCAGAAGATTTTGCTTCTCGTGGTCTGAGAGCCCTTCAGGTGCCTTTTGGCAAACTCCCAGTGGGCTGTCACATGCCTTTTACTGAGGAATGGCTTCTGTCTGGCCAAGGCCCATTGTCCCCGACTACTCAGTTTGGCTGGATGGCCAGATCTCTGACGACTGTTGGTGGGTCCAAATCTCTTCCATCTGAGAATGATGAGGCTGCCGTGCTCTTGGGCACTTTTAGTGCTGCAGAAATTTTCTTTATCCTTCCCCAGATCTCTGTCATGACATAATCCTGTCTCACAAGTCTGTGGACAGTTCTCTCAACCTAATGGCTTTGTTTTCACTCTGACATAAACCATGAGACTGTATACACAGGTGTGTGCCTTTCCTAATTATATCCAATGCATTAACTTAAGCACAGGTGGATTTTAATCAAGCTGTAGAAGCATCTCAATGACCTCTGATCGGAGTAAGATCCACCAGAGCTCAATTGCAAGTGTCATAATTCAGGTTTCAATTCAATTCAATTTATATGTATAGCGCCAAATCACAACAAAAGTCATCTCAGGACACTTTACAAAGTAAGGTCTAGACCTTACTATTATTATTATAGAGGAAAATCCCAAGTAAGCACTTGGCGACAGTGGGGAGGAAAAACTCCCTTTAACTGAAGAAACCTCCGACAGACCCCGGCTTTTGGTGGGCGGCCTTCTGCCTCGACTGGGTGTGAATACTTATGTAAATGGGATATTTCACTCTTTTAATTTTAATAAATTTACAAAAACTCCAAAAACCCGTTTTCACTTTATCATTATGGAGTATTGTGTGTAGATTGATAAGGGGAAAAAAGGAAGTTAATCAATTTTAAGATAAGTCTGACACATAACAAAATGTGTAAAACTTGAAAGTGTCTGAAAACTTTCCTTACTGACTGTATGTGACTTCAGCCATAACTGTTTGAAAGATGTTTTCAGTACCGACAAAGGCCAAGAATTATCTCCAAGTTTTTCATTGTAAGATGAGTCTGAAAATATGAAAAACTTGAAAGGGTCTGAATACTTTCTGTACTGACTGTATGATGGGATCTTACTGTAAATCCTACAGGTAGAGTTAAGCTTGGAATTGCACTGTCTCCAAGACCATTTTCAACCCCACAGCACAAAACTAAAGGTCTCAAATGAGGCTTTATATTGGTGCAATGGTCTCGTTTCAGGACCCTAAACAAGCCTATGAAATGAAGGGTTGTGAATTTGTACATGTGCGCTTCTGTATGTGTGTGTTTGCAAGATATGATGTAGCATTTTAAAAAGCATTTAAAAACTTGATTTTAAGACGTTTGTTTTATTTTTAAAAATGGGTTACACATAGTTATGTGTGCCTGCTGATTTTGACGCTGTCTCAGGCAATGGTGAGCGACTGTGCTGCAGCAGCAGTATGACGTGTATTTCTAAAAGTATTTTAAAAGACAACAATCATAAACGTTGGACATGTTAAATCACAGTTTCAAGTGCCTTAGTGTTTTTATAATGTAGACACGTATATTGTGTGTAAATGTAATTGTTCTTGTAAGCTATGTTGCATTCCAAATGACTGCATTTGACTAAAACAGGACAGGCGTGTAATTAAATGCAGGGTATTTTTTCAGATGTTGTTAAAAGGTTGTATTTTTAAATCAAACTAGATTTCCACACCCAAAATGTCTTCTTTTTTTACTTCAAAATGCATGCTTTCTAGTACTACCATTCTTGGCATTGCATAAATGTAAAGTCAGCTCGCAAGCCTTGAAAAGCATGCATTCAAAACCCCATTTACATTTGATGGATTCAAGCAGGAAAGGTTTGTTATGTCGGGTTGGTCTGTCTATAAATGAGATGACTTTAAAAACATCAAACTGAATCTGATTCTAAAGATTTAAATGTCAGCATTAATTAGATACTGTACACGCAATATACAGTACACAAATATCGGTTTTGTGGTTATCCTCCCAGTCAGTTGTTTTACCAGTTCAAGCAAACAAATGGCTACAGCGTGTGCCAGATTATTTCTTGGCAGTAACTTCTTCACTTCAACTGGTCACAGTGTGTCATTTTTTTACGGATTAAAACATGAACATGAGATGTGCTAGTAGGCTGGTGGTCTTGTCACCTTACCCCGGTTTCCGTTCCTTTATGCAAGGCTAAGCTAACCATCCTTGGAAGAGGTGACAAATCATACATTTTCTGTGTGACCAAAAGAATAACCAATCAAGGACAGGTACAACCAATAAGACACAACCAAACCATTTTTAATCTATATTTATAGGTCCTTGTGTCATGATGGCATGATCAGTGGTGTCTTGTATATTGCTGTCTTGTCTGGCACATCCGAACCAAAGTTGGTAAAAACTGAAAGATAAGTCAGATGTGTTTTGTTTTTTGTGACTCACTTTATAGCTTGGATGGTCTCATCAGTTTGAAGGGTAGAATTATTCCTGCCTTACCACTTGCCCTGTCTATTTTCTAATGTACAAAAATGATCCTTGGTAACTCCAACTAGACAAGCTGAATACCAGCCTATTTAATTTCAATTCTCCAAACCTACTGATTATAAATGGTATTTTTTAAATGAAAGAATTTGACAAAGCAATATTTGTTTCTGAGACTAGAATATATAAAACTGCATTACCATAAAAACAAAAGTCTACTCTGATAATTTTATGTGATGTTCTGTGACAAGTGTAAAGATTAGTAAAAGATGTTTAAAAATTTGCTTTCTCCTTTATTTCTTTACATTTCAACCATGTTGATTCTCACAGCTTTCAGATACTGAACAATGGGATGTGTTAATGTAGGTGTGTGTGTGAAGTCCTCTTTATTGTCTGACCTCCTCTCCTGCCTGCTGTTCAGTGGAGGGTGGTACAGCAGCTTATTGCACTGTCCAAATGCCATGATTCTTGTTAATCTTTTTGACATTACGCTCACCTCATCCTCCTCTTTGCTCTCCCTGTCATTATCCATGCAAAATTCACACAGTGTAACGTAAAACCAGAACCAGTCACCTGTAACAAACACAGCCTAGAGATGAGCTAAAGACAATTCCAACAAATACATTTCAGTACTCATGATGGTTTGTTACTGTGACTGCTAAAAATATAGCATAATGCTGTCAGTGCTTATTGACTTATTGGGAAGTTAAATCATGGGTCTGAACATTTTGACAGCTCTGTTGCAAGGTGAGAATGGAAGATCATCATTTCATGACAGCTCTGCACAGGGGTGTGTTCCACTCAGCCTACCCTCATCTTTGTCTCCTCATTTCACAACACTTGCTATTATCAGACTGACTGTTTCAAAGCAGCATAGATAATTGTAATTTTCCAAACAAATAAACATTTTACATGTACTGTACAATATGTCAAACTCAACGTGACTCGTTTAAATAGATATGTTTAGTATGTTTGTACTATACCAGTGGTTCTTTGCCAGCTGCCAAATTCACTGACACTATCTGACATGTTTCAAATGTGTCCTTTTGAAATCATGTAAAAACCTGTTTACCTTGTACACAAGCTAAAAAATAATGCACCCAAAATAAAAATGTTACTATTCTTCAACCCTTTTGATTACAGACATACAGTGGGTACGGAAAGTATTCAGACCCCCTAAAATTTTCACTCTTTGTTATATTGCAGCCATATGCTAAAATCATTTAAGTTCATTTTTTCCTCATTAATGTACACACAGCACCCCATATTGACAGAAAAACACAGAATGTTTGACATTTTTGCAGATTTATTAAAAAAGAAAAACTGAAGTAGTAGGCTATTAGATATTGACTGAGAAACACTTTGGAGAAACATACGTCTGATCCACTACTCTGTCAAAGTAGTTGCTAAATATTAGCTTTCAACATTTTTGTTTGTGGGTTTTTCCCATTTCTGCCAATACATACTTTATTAAAGTACCTAATATTTTACACAAATTAATAAAACCCAGTAACTTACCCATTAAAATGTTTATTTCACAACAAGTACTCTGTAGCCTACAAATGAATTACAATAAATCACTGAAGGGTCCTTCCACAGGGTAGGAAACCTAAACAGTATATTCTACCTACCTTTCCCATATATCTTTGAACTCAGAATTTCATTGGCTACTGAGCTTGTCAATCATTTTACTAACACTTAGAACTAGTCAGAGTAACACTGAGAAGAAGTTCACAGAAAAAGACTGTCCATACACATGTAAATAGGCATTCTGTTTAAGTGTGAAGCCTAGCAAACACTATAAAATGGTGTACTTGGGTTAGGTTTAGGTTTTCTTTAATAGATTTGGGGTTAGAAGTGGACCAGAAAAAGCTAAGAAAAGAGTAAGAAAAAGGAAGACCACTGATTGAAGCTACAAACAGAACAGCTCCGGATTTTTGATTTTTTTTTTCTCCATGACAATATGTTTGTTGGACTCATAGACACAGTTTATATGTCTGTGGTAGGACACGCCTGGGTACATTTTGTTTATTGGAATCTTATTATAAAACCATTTCCAGTAAATTTGGATTCACATTCTGGATACAAACTACCAACAAAGGTAGGGAGTGACTGTTCAGTTGTGTGTTTTATAACATACTGCTGAAAATTGAAAGACTGCTGTACATAGCTGAATTTGTGAGACATAGAGCTTTTTTATAATGATGTATAATGTCATAATTGTGTTTAGAAGAAGCCCAGCACAGACAAAAATATGGTTGATGAAGACTCGGTGTCCCACGGGTGGGGCAGCAGTCAGTAACGGATTTAAACAAGAAGCTATGTATTTAACACTACTGATTATGTAAGGGATAATACCAGGGGCAGAGTGGCAACAAAAAGCAGCCCAAGGGTTTCATTGTCAAGCAGCCCGAATTCAATTTGTCAAATTGAAACTGTCACAACAAAATAATTTACCAACAAATTATTAATTTAAAAAACACAATCTGATGATTTTTGTAGGAGACAGTTTGTATTAAACTAATATGCAAAATGGTGGCTTTCATTTTCCAGGGTTTTCCTTCCAATATTTTTGTTTGCATAAAGAAAAAATAGAAAGTTGTGAAATTATCCAAAACTGTTGCTGCCTTTTCTTCATCATTGCATACTGAGCTCACATAACATATCTACACTCCAATTACTTTGAAATTACGCTGTGCACTGGTCACACGCATCGCCATAGAGGTCCCTGCACAAACATTTTCCTTCAAACACTCCCTGTCTGCGTCAGGTTTACCTGTTTGCTGCATAAAACAAACATAATTTAGACTGTTTGCATCAATTATGTTATATTTATAAATTTCAGAGTGAATAGACCGGCCACAAAATTGGCAAGTAGATGTCTAGGCATTCAGTTTATTTCATGCAATGCAATGATAAATAATGTTTAAAGAATAGTCTAACCTGATCACATGCACTGATGCGCAGCGCTCTATTTCAGTCACACAATAATATTCAATAGTGCACCTGTGGTTGGCTCTGTGCTGGTTCGTTCTTCCTCCACTTCCATTCTTTCCCTTTCTTTTCAGTGCTATGTTCACCTGTGTGTCCATTATACAATCAGTATTTAACAGACCGGCAGGGTTGCCTATCAAATATTACAGCAAATTAGAATTGTAAAAAATGGAGAGGACACATTTTTATATTTATTTAACCTAGTCAACGTCCATTTCTTTCTTTCTAGTTTTTTTTTTTTGGCACTTTCTTTGCAAAAATCTAGCATTAACTTAAACATTCTGGCTTTAAATGTTTCAGCCCTGACTGCATTCAGCAGCCACTTATCTGGGAATGATGGTCCAGCAGTTCTAATATTAAAATGATTGAACTTAGAACAAACTGTCAGAGACACAGCTACTGCTCCCCACTCACTCATTTTAAAGTTTACAGCCTGGTACAAAAAATGGTTTTGGCTTCTATACCTAATTCCCCCTTCCATGACAACTGTATGACTTTTCATATAACTCACCCATTCAAATGAATGGCTAAAAGTTATGCATTAATTAAGGGAGTGGCCACTCTTGAGTGATGGGCAGGACAGTCCTATCACTGGTGGCTAGCTGCTAGCTGTGTAGAAAGCTCCACTCACATGCCAACTCTTTGCCCATTTTTGGATTGGACAGAATTAGACCGAGTGAAGCACCAACAATATGGCTACAGCCAGACTTGAGCTTTAAAACCACTCAGAACACCAGTGGATGATGTCATGAAGGGTTCGTCCATCTCCTTTATATACAGTCAATGTTTGGACTTAAAGGCCTCACTTTCTTCTTCATTAGCAGCATCAAAATTTGGATATTCACCAAGATTTCCTCAAATTAGTTGAGCAATTTTACCACCTTTCCATCTACCCCCAACTGCAGTAGTACCCACTGAGGTACAAGTACCCTTAAATGCACATGACTATCATGTACTTGTGTACACAATAGTTTACCTGTCATATCATAATTAATTAGTATATAAACATGTAGAGTCATACATAATGAACAGTTACAAAAGCACAGCAATAAAAACATAATTAGACAAATTATCCAGAAGCTAGTAAGGCATGTTAGACATCAAAGCAACTGCTGTGTGTGTATACATGTGTGTAATACTGTCTACATACATAACACTTGTCTTTCTCTCTCTGTCCCTTCACCCGTTCTTTCCTGGCGCCTAAGGAAAAGATGCCAAATAGCACACACACACACAGACAGACATTGCCGGGCGAGTGCTGAGGAGAGGGGAGCTGTCATTTGTCAACAAGGAACTTTGGCAGCTCGCAGTTGCCATGGGAACTGTCTGTTGCTGAGGACTGGTTTTGCATCACAAGGTCCTCATATTGGCTCCAAAGCCTCCAAGGTCCCACCCCTCCTCCACCCAGCTCACCTCCATCTCTCAGAGCTTCAAACAAATTGTCAGGATTTTCCTTGCTTCATTTTCCCCTCAATCTGCTGTCTTCCACCTCCATGACCAAATTCCTGTGCTTTATTTCCCAGTCAAGTTTTCTTATTAGCAGGGATGTTTGCCTCTGTTGTTTGAGTTACAACAGCTACATGATCAGATTCACAATCAATAAGACTGAAGCTATTGATAGCTGAGATGCCAGTATGTACATGACACTAAGTCATATTATATCTTCAGACACATTTTCATAGTACAAACAAAATAAAATTTTAGTGTTTCATTCTTACTAGAACAGAAGGCTTCAGCAACAGCACTGACTGTAGATCAGCATATGATATGAAGAATTCTGCATTTCAATTCAGCAAAGTGCCAAAAATCATTAAGGAAGTTGACTAGGGCTGCAAGTAACATGTATTTGCATTATTGATTAATTTACTGATTATTTTTCTCACTTAATAATGTTCTTTTATATAAAATGTCAATAAAAAAGCCTATCACAGTTTCCAAGTGCCCGTGGAGGCATCTTAAAGTGTTTTATCTGACCAACAGTCCAAGCACAGTGGGTTTACACTGGTATAAAACAAAGCTGGAGAATGTGGAACATGCAAATGGTTGGCATTTTGCTTGAAATTTTAATTAAACGATTAGTAAATTATCAAAATAGGCTTATTTTCCTTCAACCGACTAATTGATTAGTTGACTAATTGACTAGTTGACTAATTGACTGCTTATCTTTTGAAGTTGATTATCTGCATTGAATTATCTAAAAAACAAACAAAGAATCTAAGGGTAAAACCTAAAGTTTGACAAATTATTTACTGGTAATGAAATTTTATTCAGAGGCCCATTGAGTTTCTTTATTTCATAATCAAATGATGTATTCAGTTCATAGATCATAACAAATCACTCCATAATAATGCATTGCATTAGCTGCACTTAATGATAAAAAGTATCTTTAAATTATTGCATGGGTTAGTAGTAATTGGCATATATTGTGGTTTTGCTCACTCCTGCTTGAATCAAATTTTATTCCTGTTTATTTGGAGTTGGGTCTTTTACCTCCTCAGTATTTTGAGGATATGGTATATGGCAGATCTTCAGGAACAAGCAATTTGTTGATGATTTCTGGTGAGTGAAGATACAGTAAGTGATAAATATTAGCACAATTAGAAGCTAAACAAAAATAATCATTGGAAAACTGAAGGTGCTGAACATTATTATAGAGATCTCTGATGCTATCAAAGAAGATTTGATACATGTAAACAGAATCCACAACTGTATTACATACCAAGAAATACAGCAATGATTTGCACTCTGCTGGCGCTTACAGATGATTATGCTTGAATTTTCATCATGTCACTGGAAGCGAAGCCCAACAAGTCGATCCCCATAGGATCAATTCGATTCAGCTTACATAACAACCAAGGCTCTCTGGCTGTTGTTGATATTTCTGGGTCTCTCCCTCCAGCATAATGCGCCTACATTTTCAGTGCAGAAAGAAGCTGCTGGCATTTGATAAACATTTGCAATGTAGGATGTCCTCAATCCTTGACTATGAAGCTCACTCCCTTTCCCCAACAGTGAATCTGTCCCCCAAATTGTGACTGGACATGAAAGCAATGCATTTTACTGGCTTTGACACCTGAATTTGTTGATGGCTGGTGTCTTTAACTTACGTATTAACTGGGTCTAACACTAAGATGGATGGATGGGCTGCCAAGCTG